GTTGTTTGTTTCATTGCCTGACATGCAGGGCCCTCCAGGTTTAGAGGGTCCAAAGGGTGATCCAGGGAGTTCTGGTGATCTGGGTCCTCGTGGACTACCAGGCATTTCTGGGGAACGTGGCAGGGATGGCAAAAGGGTGAGTGCCATGTTTCGTGCAGTAGTCATTGGTTTAGAATGATCAGTAGGCGATGCAACATGCTCCTTTACTATTTTCATATCTAAATTGTGCCTCTGACTACAACCAATATTCCAGTTATGGATTTGAATTTTTATTCCCTTCGTATCATTGGATGAACTCTTCTCACTCCTCCTATCATTCAATATTTGCTTTCAAATACAGAATAAACATGATTGTCAAAATTCTAGGTCCTGTAAAGTTTTCTATCCTAATTAGTTTGAAAGAGATCCTTGAGTTGTAATTCTTTGCCCTGATTTCTGCTCATCATATACGGAATACTAACAATAATATGTACTAGTCACTTGCTGCCCTTTAGCACATTGTGTTTCTAGCTGTGAGTATTTCACATCAGACCTTTCACTTAATCCTGTTTCATTTGAGATTTTGTATGTTCAAAACAAAACAAATACTTTACCAGAAAATCCTGATTTGCTCAAATGTTTACAGGGACGATCAGGGAAAGATGGACCTCGGGGACCTCCAGGAATTCAAGGATTCAAAGTACGTGATCTGCTGGTTTGTTTGTTCTACTAAAAACAAAAATACAGCCATCTTTAAAAGTTATAGGCCTAATGTGTATGTTGAGGCAAAATGTGTTACCAACCAAAGATGACATTTCCCCAAGTTTTGGCCACCCGAAGAAATAGCATACAAATAATGAATGTTTTGCCATTATTATTGGAATGGAACATTCTATCTGTCACTGAATGAAACTGTTACCATTGCATAAATGTGAAATATTCACTTTGTGTGTTTGCTTTATGCAAATTCTTCATAATCTTCTTCTTTTAGGAGAGCAAACGGCCCTTGAATAATAACATCTAGCATTTTTCCTCTTTCTTACTGGAAATGAAATATATGAAATGGGGGCAGGAACCGGTGAATTGGAATGAAGTTCCATTTAACGGGGAATAGAACAAATAATTCAATGATATATGGTAACGATCCTCCAGTAAGATGACATGGATTTGTGTAGGTATTGTATACTAGGCAACATGATGAGAGTGGGGCTATTGACATACATGAACTGAACATGTTAGTGCCATTTGAGAACATGATGCTCATAGAAACTGTAAGCAGATTGCACCGGAAGGACCAAGCTGTTAACAAGAATTTTTTTTCAGTAACCAATAAATGTCCATGTTCCAACAACACATTCAATTACACCATGTTAGGACTGACTGGATATCAGGCATATTTTCAAGTAAAACAGAATTTGTGTTATCTGTTGGGTATAACATTAGATTCTTGATGTACAAACATAATCAAAATGTGAAAGAATGCTATGAATCAGCCGTCTTTTTGATGAGTTGCAAATCTGATGTGAGCCTATGCAATACCGATTTCTGTCTGTCTGTCCAGCAGTCCAGCCGGCCAGTTTGGTTCGGGGGCAGAGGAGGAGATGGATGGGATGATGGGATGTGGAAGAATCCTTAATGTGCCATTTTTTATATCCATGATGCAGTCGTGCATCAGTCCATTTTTCTGTACCGGTACTCACTGTTTTTAACAATTGTGGCAAAGCTTCCACTTGGTTAGTATGATTACCTAGTTTAATTTAGCAGCGCCACTTATAATTTGCTTGGATGTCTATTAACATGAATTAGTTTTGCAGTAAAAAGATTAGATTCCTGTGAAGCAGTGAGCCATGGCAGCTTCGCCATTCTAGTTTTACTTTTTTTCCCCCGTTTTTTAGCCTTGCTCATAATGGAGCAGTGACTACCTTGTGCTGGAACAAAATATAGGTAGTTTTCCTTGGACACTAACATCCCTTTGGTGGGACAAATACCATGACAACACCGTGACAACACCATGTGCGCACGAAGGTTCATACATATTTGGTGCAGTTTATACAAGACTGACTGCAGTCTTCTTGTGTGTGTCACATGTCAAGTTGAAAAACTAATTGACTTGCAAAATCATTGTGCCATGAAAAAAAAAAATTCTTTTCAGCAGGTCGAAACCCTACAAATAGTTGTGATTGCCTGTGTTTTGTAACTGATTTTCAGGGTGATCGAGGCTATGATGGACTACCAGGTCTCCCTGGTGTGAAAGGGGCTCGGGTAAGAAACTCCCAACACCGTGTTTGTCTTTTCATCAGTTAGTGCCAATGGTTGATTTGACATATGACATTAGTATCCCTCATTTGAAAACAAACTTGTGACTGTGCACAGAGGTAGCAGTATTTAACAACAACCTGATTTGATTATAACAAGTGTAACATTAGCACTGAAAAAAAATTTTTAGTGCTGGACAAACTTCAGAATGACATGAGAAGTGCACACATAGGTGTTTGTTGTTGATGTATTGATGCTGATAAAACTTGACCTTCATTCTTAACCTTTTTGTTTGCCTCATGTGGAACAGGTTTAGAAAAAATTATGAGCATCTTGAACACTACATCACTTTTAAGAAATTGGGGTTTGTTAGAAGAATTTGCTCCCTTAAAGATGATTTTTTAGTAGCTCAAATTGTAAATATACAAATGTTGCAGTTACAAAAGAGTTTTGAAACCTCGAAATGAATGAATAGTCTCTGAAACATGGGATGAAACGAAACTGAACAAAATTATGATTAAAGATAAAAATGGCCATCATTTCTCTGGTCTAAACATCAGTCTGCTCAATGTTTGGTGGAACTTCGCTTTGCATAGCCAAGACATAGTCTGTTGGAATTGGCCACTAAATACATGTACATGTACATGTTTCCCTCTAATATGTCCTTTATGTCTATTGTCTCACTTTACTCTTCCATTTGCCATCCTGCAATCAGATCAAAGAGGATCCAGATTGTCTAGATGCTGAGCTTTCATTTTTCCCCATATCTTTTGAAAACCTTCAGGGAAGACCAGGGTTCAAAGGTGAGAGGGGACCAGAAGGTCAGAAAGGAGAACTGGTGAGTTTCTTTTACAAAACATCATTTAAATATTTTAAATCAAAGTTATTGAAGTTCATTAATCTCTACAAGGAACAAATCATTCTTTGGCTTTAAAAAATGTAACACCTTGGGGTATCACTTTGAGTTATCCCTGGAATTAACAATTTTTCCCCAGGCTTTTTTGTTTGTGGTTTTCTGTTTTTTGTGTGGAACTGTGGTATTAAAACCTTATTATAACCTTAATACATACCTATTATGGACTTGTGAACAGCAGATGTTCACAAGAATGCAGGAAGGGAAAACGTTCTGTGGATGTACCCATTTCCACAGGACGTTTCCTCTTCTCTGAAAAAGAAATTTAGATGCATTTGGGGGTTAGGACCATCTGTCGTAAAAGGAAGAGGAACAGTCAAGGAAATATTTTATAAAATCCAGCTGAAAATTGTGTTCCTAGGTCAAGAAAAAATGAGTATATTTTACTGAGTTTTTTTAATTGCACAAAATTAAGGGAATGTCCACACTAGGTATGTAACTTAAGTGTCTGTGTGTGGGGGGGTTAATAAATATTTGAAGACTTAAAGTGATGTTGTGACTACAGGGTGACGATGGTGAGCCAGGAGATTACGGAATGACTGGCGCACCAGGTATAGCTGGCCAGCCCGGTCCAAGAGGTATGCCTGGCCCCATGGGAATGCCGGTGAGTTGAGAAACTGCTATTCTTAATGTTCTGTCATGCCTAAACTCAAAGTAAACTTTATTCACTACACAAGTTTGTCAATAATAGTTCTCTAATATTGTTTTCTGATGTAATTTGATGGCATAATGTTGATTATATTGGATAGGTCTACATGTTAACCTTTCAAACCAACGTTGCTGCATATATACTGAAGTATTACGAAGAGTTTGACATGCACTTGGATCAAGCCTTACCCCACACCCACACTTTTTTCAAACCTGCACCTCCCTGGTACTCTGTTCTTGTGTAATATAATGAAATGTACTTCTAATTGAAAGTGCTTAAACAACAATCAGAATATTTATCCAGTTAGGCTTGAGACGTATTTCCTGTTTTCTATGCTTCTTTGATTTTCTTATTTTTGTTCTTGCAGGGAGCTATAGGTGAACCTGGTCCTTTTGGTCCAAAGGGTGCCATGGGCATTGCTGGCATGCCTGGGAATCCTGGTATGCCAGGCAAGCAAGGGGCAGCTGTAAGTTGTTTTCTGAAAGTCTCTGTCTTGTTTCCTGGTTTCAACAATGTGTACTCTTATTATGTTTGCAGTCAACCATTGAGTAGTTCTCTTTGTTTGCTACTTTAAAAAATGCAAACTGAATTGGGTACCTTCAGACAAGTCAAACTATTTCCATCAAGCAGTTTCAAGCAGTTCTACGCTGCATTTAATTATTGAAATTATTATTTTGTAAAAATTCTAAATTTGCATGATGTTTTAGGCTTATGTAAGGCCACAACAAATGCCATTCTAATCACCATAATGTTTTCATCATATGTCAAAATTATTGCATCACTTGTTACCATATTACACTGTTACTCATTACATTTGGCACCTGGTGCATCTTTTCAAGGTCTGAATGACATCCCTTTGTTAATAGGCGGTCAGTCGAACCACTAAATTCTTTCATTTTGTTCCAGCAATTGCAGGAATAGATTTCCTGAACAGAGTCAAGTACGTAAATTACCAGAGATGACAAGTGCAAAAGTTCTCCACATGTTATCCTGCGGTTTTTTAATAATACTGGTGGAAAGAGCAAACTATTTTGCCGTCAGGGAAGCTCAATGTGCAAAATTCGCCGCATTTAAAAGTCGTTCGCGAATGATGTAATCTGACCACGTGATGCAAATTGTCCAATCCGAGACCGAAACAAAGGTCGTTGATCGTGGGTCAGGACACAAAGTAGTAAACATGGCAACATCCTGCACTGCGGATGACATGTGCCTGAACGTCAACATCAAAGAAATTTCAGGTGTTTGATGCCTGTAGAATCGGTCAAATTTCAAAGAGAAAAACCCTTACGAATGCCCGATGGCAAAGGTTCACTTCATGTTAAAAGAGTGGCTTGATTTATGCGGCAGAGATCGTGAGATCTCCAAACAAACCGAGCACAATCACGAGGGACTACTCGCGCTATGCACAGACTGTGCCTATCATGCCTATGGCGAAGCATATAAATTACACGTACATTGGTTTTCACGGGACAGGCTACCGGCATGTGGAGTACCGAAGTCTTTAAATGCCTGAATACTGCTAGAAAACGAAAGTTACACAAAGATTCTCCCTTTGAAGTTTCATCTTCTTCCCTTAAGAAACTCTGGGCTAGATCTAGACTCTGATGGAGGTAAGCTGCATTACAATTACATTGCAATCAGGCAAGGGCATGTTGATTGAAGTAGCTTTTGAAAATTAATAGTAATTTAGGTCTACATGTATGTTGTTATTTTGATTTTAGCCCATCGTGCCTACCATTGAAGCTACTTCTAGTAACTTGGACTCAATGAATGGACCTTTCCCATGAAATATGCAAATAAGGCATGCGCATTATAATACCACTGGTTGGCAAAGTTGCTGTAAAGTTAAAACTACCATGACGTAACAATACAAATCCCCATGCGCGCAACTGTAAGTATACACACGCTGTTTCTATACTAGTATAGTTTGAGCGTGCCAAACTTCAAAGATAAGGAATTGTTACTTTCCAACTTCAGGACGCTGAAAACTTTACTTGGCATGCTTGGTTTCGAGAAGAGCATGCTGAAGTATCGGACAGAGGCTGTAATGTGGTTTTGATTGACCTTCAACGCACCAGATCACAAATACAGTAGTTCTCCTACACTGCTGATGGTTTTGACGGACGCGCTTGTGTCTGTCTAATTTACATATTTCACAGGAAAGGTCTATGGGTCATTGGGTCTTGGTTGGACCAATCCAAAGTTCATAAAAGAGAGGTACTAGCAGGCCACCTAGTGGGATTAACAGATTATAGGGAAATATGCTGACTGAAAATTACATGTAAAAATATTCATAAGTGTGACTCAATCTAATCAGAGCTGGCACCATTAAGCAGTAGACCTGTAAACATGGCTCTTCTCTTGGGGGCTGGATATGGATTTATGTACATGTATATAGAAATAGCTTTGTCAAAGTTTCATCCACTGACATTTTAAAGTTTCACCCACTGACACCCTTAAATGCCCTTGAAATGATAACCTGGGAATGGCTGGTCGCATAGGTAATTAACGTGCTGGTTGAATTCCAGTTCATAAAATGTAGCGGATGTCAGTGGGTGAAACGTTAGAAAATTTGAAAGCTGTTTTTATATATCCATCCAGGATCCAAGCATTGACAGATGACACGAAAAGCCCTGATTACTGGTCTACATTTAGAAGCAGCCTTTCTGTGGACTGATAACAGAGACGGTGCAGACAATTATGCCAAAATGTCTGGCAACAAATAGCATTTAACAAAATGCTTGTAAGATTACGAGCATAAGCAAGATGGTTTAAATTGTATTTTCTTTTAAATTTCTTTTCCAGGAATGCTTTGTCAAGCAGCAGAGAGCAAAAGAATTGTACAAGCATAATTGCCACAGTAAGGTCAAGCCACTCTTTCCTATTTTTCTCTTCCATTTTCTCAAAATAGGTTCCAAGGGGTGTGATGGGAAAGTCTGTTTGGATGAAGTGACCTGTATAAAAAGTGTAGTTTACTGTCTGATTGAATTGAAGGAGTGAACTTCAGATGGAGCACCTAGAGGCCTACGAGATGTTCAACAGAGATAGTGATTGATGGCCAGGAAATCATGAGTATGTTGAAGATTGATCATCTGTTTATGAGAGTGATCAAGAAGCATGACAGGGAACTGACCTTCAATCACACTGGTATGATAGATTGACAGTTAGTCAAATTGTCCAGTGCTTACAAAATTGACTCTTTATAAAATGTTCAAATCGACTGTTGACATTGCATTTTGAAAGAGTAGGTGTTGCATAGGCAGTCTG